GTGAAATATATGTGAAAAGTCACTGCAGGATTTTCGAAGAAAGAAAAAATTGGCGATGGGAAATTAGCTTGTAAAGAGAAAGTAGGAAGGTGTTTTTGTTAAGGGGAATGGTGAAAGGTGGTTGTTTTCTGTGCTATTTGAGACAGTATTCAAAAGGTAAAAAGAATTAAGAGTAGGGGAAACACTAGTTTTCTTTGCTGTAAATATAATGTCAGTTGGACATGGGGCGATCAGAGTGGGTTATGAACTGGAGATGTTTGAGTTGGCTGACATAATACTGCATTGGGATCTTTTTCATGGAATAAATCAGTAAATTCCTTGCACTTGAAGGTGGAGGCAGTGATTGCAATTTTGGAAGGAACAAAGGCATTCTGGGAAGTGGTCCTATTCTTACATATTAGTGTATGAAACTTTTACTATGCCACATTATATTATAAATACTCATTCAAATTTGATGTCTCCTGATAGCTATTGATTCAAATTTCATCTGTGGTCTATGTATCCTCTCTTGTATCCTATACCTTCATTAGCTGTGTTTTCTTGAAGTTAACTTATTCTTTGTGAAAATATGTAAGGATAGATTGTTTGCTTGTTTTATTACTGTTGTTGCATTGATCCGTTACTCTCTGAGATCGAGAGATAAATATCCAAATGATATTAATTAACAACTGCACTAGGGCAAGCCTGGCTTTAATAGTCGGGGCATCATTTTTGGTGACAGAGAAATGGTTACATCTCTGAGAAAGCCAAGAACAGTATCTAAAATGACTAAGGACTCCTATCTGAGGCCTCTGTATGACTAGACTCCACTAGCCCTGTTCTTCCCTCTCGCCCCTCTGCACTTCCTTCCTGTGCCTCTTATCGTCCCTGGGCCGATTGGGCCAATTGAGTTCTTAGCCCATCAGCCTGATTAGATAATTACCCCCAATCAGCTTCTTCTGGGGCAGTAATTAGCATCTAAGTGACCAAAGTGTAGGCTCACCTACTCTCTCCCTGCACTCTGTCACAGGGACCAAATCAGGGTGCCCAGATAATCTTCCTACAAGAATATTAAAGGAACTGGCACATGAAATTGTGATCCCAGTAGCAAGGATTTTTAATGAATCCTTGTACCCTATGACTGGAGAATTTCAAGTATAATACCTATATTTAAGAAAGGAACAAAGTGATCTGGAAAACTACAGGCCTGCAAGTTTGACCTCCGTTGCATGCAAGGTCTTAGAACAAAATTTGAAGGAGAGAGTAAAGACATGGAGCTAAACAGTAATTGGTATGAAATACAACATAGTTTTAGAAAAGGTAGATCATGCCAGACCTACCTGATCTCTTTCTTTGAGAAGATAACTGATTTTCTAGACAAAAGAAATGCAGTAGATCTATTCTATCTGGATTTCAGTAAAATATTTGATACAGTTCCACACGGGATATTTAGTTAAATTGGAGGAGATGGGGATTAATACAGGAATTGAAAGGTGGGTAAGGAACTGATTAAAGGGGAGACTACAGTGGGTCATACTGGAAGGTGAACTATCAAGCTGGAGGGAGGTTACTAATGGAGTTCCTCAAGAATCAGTCTTAGGACCAATTTTATTTAACATTTTCAACAATGATCTTTGCACAGAAAGTGAGAGTGTGCTGAAAAAATTTGTTGGATGACATAAAATTGGGAGATACTGCCAATATGGAGGAGGACTAGAATCACATAAAAAGATTTGGACAATCTTGACAACTGGAATAATAGAAATAGGGTAAAATTTAATAGTGCAAAGAGGGACTAACAACAAGAGTTGTTGCTATAAGCTGGGGACTTAACACTTGGAAGCAACAGAGGAGGAGAAAGACAATCCTAGGATGCATTAGGCAAGGTATTTCCAGTTGCAGTAGGGAAGTTTTATTACCAATGTACAAGTCACTGGTCAGACCTCATCTGGAATAGTGTGTGCAGAGAAGGGCTACTATCTTTAAGAAAGATGAATTCAAACTGGAGTGGGTGCAGAGAAGGGCTACTAAGATGATCAGAGGAATGGAGAGCCTATCCTACGAGGGGAGACTTAAGGAGCTTGGCTTGTTTAGCCTAACAAAACAGGCCGAGGGGAGAGATGATTTCAGTTAAGCGCCAATGTTGACACAAGAACAAATGGATATAAACTGGCTATCAACAAGTTTAGGCTTGAAATTAGATGAAGGTTTCTGACCATCAAAAGAATGAAGTTCTGGAATAGTTTTCCAAGAGGAGCAGTGGGAGCAAAAAACGTTACTTGTTTAAAAAACCCTAGTTTGCGGAGGGGATGGTACGATGAAATTGCCGACAATGGCATATGGCCCATCCATGTCTGCTATTAGCAGATCTCTCTAATGGCTAGAAATAGGATGCTAGATGGGGAGAGCTCTTGAGTTACAGAGAATTCTTGCCTAGATATCTGGCTGGTGGGTCTCACCCACATGCTCAGGGTCTAACTGATCACCATATATGAGGTCAGGAAGGACCCATGCCCCCCTGGACAGCATGGGGCATGGGTCCCTTGCTGGTTTTAACTAAAGCAAATGATGGATTTTCTGTAACTTGAAGACTTTGAATCAAGTTTTGAGGACTTCAGTAACTCAGCCAGGGGCTATGGACCTATTGCAGGAGTGAGTGGGTGAGGTTCTGTGGCCTGCCATGTGCAGGAAGTCAGACTAGATGATCATGATGGTCCCTTCTGGCCTTCAAGTCTATGAGTCTGGAAACAAATGTGTTTACCAGTTGAATAGATAATGAAACATTTAAATGACCACAGTGACTGCCTGTGGTTGCTGAAGAGCAAATTTCTCTAGCCACTTCTGAAGCATTAAAGGTTTTATTTTTGTTATTACAAAACTAAGATTTTAAAGCTAAAAATGGCTTTTGTTGTGGAGTGAAGTGAATTGTTAGTTACCAAAGAGGGATGTGCAGATACCATGGGCTCCTGCTATATTTCCCAGTTTGTCCTGTAAACCATCTCTAATTTTTAGGTAACATTGTTGTACTTCATAAATTTAAAAAACATCTACTTGTATCTATAGTTGGTCCCAAGTGAGCCAAAGTACAAAGTAGGTTTGTTTCCCCAATTAATGGCACAGTGAGCAACTGTCACACTAGTGCACCACTAGAAGAAATGATTAAATCAACTGAGAGGTACCAAACCACTGTAATAGAAGTGTCACAGGATCAGTGTCTCTGTTTTGCCTTAGCATTATCCTGTGATAATGTTCTGGTTCACTGACAATATTACTTAAACAATTCAACAGTAATTTGAAATAGAAAATGTTTTGGCTAAATACCTTTTATTTATTTTGCACAGGAAAACGTAGAACTGCTCACAAGCCTCATTCAAAGCCAAAGGTGTCAGATGTTTTTGAGGTACGTTTTCAAGAAAATGGGATGGATACAAAGTCCAAGGGCTGTTCCCAATCTGAGGAGGAACTGTGGGCCCGATTGGAAGAACTTGAGAGACGAGAAGAGATGCTGGGTGAATTTGACAGGTATATTACTGTTGCAGGTTTGGGCTGAAAGATTTAATTAAAATCCTTACTAGTATGAACAAATAGGTGCTTTTTGCAGTTGATTTGCTTAAATCAGTAATGGTTGAGGAGCATTGCTGCATGTTGAAAAGTGTATGATTGTTGATTTTGTTTCCATTATAAACTGAGAAAGTCCTAAAAACATCCATTCAGAACTCTGGATACTTTTTAATACCTTAAAATTCGCAAAAATAAATAAAATGTGAAACTTAAAATAAGCTGCTCATAATAGAGGAAGATCTGTTTACAGAGCCTGACTACCACAGACTTTCTGTGTGATCGGCATACATTTAATTTCTGTATACCTCAGTTCCCCATCTGTGAAATGGGGACGATAAAACTTCCTTACCTCAAGGGTATAATGTGAGAGTAAACTAACTAATGTTTGTGAGGAGTTTGGAGCCTATAAACACCCAGATAGATAGAGAGAACTAAAAGAATTAACTTGGACTCTAATTATGAGGGTAGGGTGAAGAAGGTTGGAACATAAAGGGCCAGATTTTCTACTGGAATCCAGCCCCTGAGTGGTTCAGAGGAGCTGGAATCTGTATGTAAATGTCCAGGAAGGAATCCCCTCATTCTCCTGACATAGGGAAACTACCCAATGGCAGAGGCAGCTCCTGTGACTGCTGCCTCCCTCCCATGCCCGTCAGAGGGCACAACATGGAAAGGAGGTTGGAGCATTGCAGAATAGAGTTCCACTACTCCCATCCTCCAATGGCATAGGGGCCATTTGAGACCCTATGCCAGGGTGTGAGTTAGAACAGCTCTCTAGCTGCTTTCACTGGCCCTGGGGCTACTGCAGAAAGGCCCTTGATCATGGAGCTGTAACCAGCTCCCTGACACCCTCATCTGTTTCTTGCATTGATTAGAGCTTGGTTGCAAGAGAGACTCTGGCCCAAAGTGTACAAGATGGGTAAGCTAGTATTATAGTTGGACCTTTCGTATTTCTGACCTGTTGTGTACAATTCCTGAGTAAACAACTCTTTTAATTGTGAATGACAATCCTTAGAGCTGTTTTGGTCCTTATTGAAGTGGTTCCATTATTAGTAAGGGCTCCACAGTCTGACCCTTAAAAAAACTATATCATGCATGATATTGTTCTTCCCTAACCTCTTCCAGAAAATCTCATCTCATAGGTAAAGGAAATTATTCACTGGTTTCATATGTTATTCTGTAAGTTATCTTGTTAGGCTATGATATGTGTTGATTAGTTTTCTTTCCTTAAGTATTTTTTGCAATTTATAGGACACCTGATACAATTGAGGCAAATGGAGAAGATACAACTTCCTCTGAAGAGGAGAAAGAAGATAAGACAGATCTGAATGTGGTACACAGAGTGGAAGACTCTACTACTCAGGACAATGTACAGAAAGAAGTAACAACTTCAGAATTGTTCAGTGGCCAAGTTAATGGCCCAAGTCATTATCACAGTGATGATGAAGACGATTTAGGAGTTGATCATTTTGTACCAACTATATTTTTCTCTCATACTGTTGAACCTAAAAGGGTTTGTACTATTACTTTTTATGTATTTATCTCCATATAATGTAGATAGTATATATACTACATGCTTTATTTAAAATAGTGTACCCCAAAGTGCCGGACAATAAAGTATACCATTGCTTTAATGAGTCAAAAAAAAGACCTACCTCACATAGGTAAGATGGTGTCAGAGTTCAGAGCTGAAGCCACTTCCTTGTTTACTAGGTTTAAAGAGGCAGGGACCACAACAAAAGCAGCATCCTTATCCTATGGGGAGAGAGTGATGTGTTATCTAGAGCAACTCCTATAGTCAAATGAAGAGGCAGCAGCGATGTATTCTTGAGGGAGTCATCCAGCCTGCCAGAGCTGAAGTTAAACGCTAAAGCAAGTGTGAAAAGACTCCTCTCATGAAGAAATAAGTCAGAAATATGTCTACATTATAATTGGGAACAATTTCTCAAGGAAAATGGTGAAAGATCCCATCCCTTGGGAATTTAAAAAGTAATGGACAAAACACTAGTAGATATACTGCTTTGGTGGGGTTGGGGGTGGGAGTGAGGGAGTGCACTAGATGTCCTAATAGGTCTCTTCCATCTTTAATATCTAGGATTTTTTCATCCGACAGAAACAGTAGTAGCTACTAGTTTATCTGTTGTTGGAATCTAACCATAGATTATACTCCTAATAGCACATCTAAAATGTTACTGCAGGAGAATTCTAACTGTTTGTGCTACTTACAGCCCTAGAATCTTTTTTTTTCTTTTCTGAAAATGCATTTTATATTTATTTTAGACATGCAATATTGTAAAATGTAAAAACTATCGCAGAATTCAAGGTGTTTTGTCAAACATTCATGTGAAACTTTGACAGTAAGATCCATGGCTAGTCTTGTATTTAGGATCCTGACTATAGACAAAGTTTAATTTGGCTTTTTATTTCAGAAGGTTTCTTTTGCTGCTCTGTGTTTTGAAACCCCCCAATTCAGTCATGAATTCTCTAAAATGATACCAAAAAGAGATATTCAAGTTTTCATACTACCAGTGCCATGTCACATATTTCTAAAAGGTAGCATCCCTGGTCCAGGTGTTCTAAAAATGCCTTTTACATTCAAGGCAGACATTGCATTCAGGGGAAACTAAGCTCTTGGTCAGAATTAATGGTTTAGGATGTATGGTTTGATGTATAATCAGGTTGTTTATTCTTACCCAATCCTGGTGGAAGAAGCTATTTCTTGACACTAAGTGCTAATGCACATGAATTTTGCACATAATATCGAGAGCACTGAGAATGTCACGGTCAATACATTTTGTTGTTTAGCTGTAGTCTCTCAGCTGCTTGGATATGAAGAATTCATGAACTGACTTGATCCATGCCCTCGTGATTGCTTGATTTTTATACTCTAGACCAATTTGTGTTTTAATTTTCAGGTAAGAATAAACACAGGAAAAAATACTACTTTGAAATTTAGTGAAAAGAAAGAGGAGGCCAAACGTAAAAGGAAGAATAGCAATGGCAATGGACACTTGGTTCCAGAACTGCCTAACATAAAAACACCAGCAGACATTTACCGGTATGTAATGTATAGTGATAGCTGCCCTGCTTTTCCCATAGCACGCTTGAAAAGTAAGGCCTTCTTTTGTGTTCAAGCGTGTCCTCTTTGAAGCATCCTGCAGCAACTTTGAAATCTTACCCAAATATGGAGCTGCACAGTGTCTCCCAAAAGAAGCATTTGGAACTGGGTGTACATTTTAAGAAGTGAACACTTGTGTCTCCTGCATGGTTGTCACACGTTTAAACTGCCACACTTCATAGCTATTGCATGCTGCTTTGCTGAGAGTTGCATTTTCTCAAACTAAGAGTCGAACATAATTCCTTTTAGCAGTGCTTTTAAAATTTACCCCACTGCTTCATGCCATATCTTCTGCAACTTAAAGGAAATAAATGGCTCATTGCAAATTGTTTAAGCACATTATCAATCAACTTCCTTTTAAATATTTTTTAAATATAACTGATCATGTCCATCACATTATGCCTTCTTTCTCTTTCTAGCTTCACTCCATTGTTTCTTTCCCTTGAGGGATTTGTCTAAGTTGTTATTGTCTCCTTCCTCTTTTCTTACTTTCTCCCTCCAGCCAAGCATATTCCTTTCAGCACGTGCTTTGTCCTCCTCTCTAAATATTCTCTCTCATTTCTTCCCTCCCTATGAAATTTCTCTCTCCTTTTCCATCTTTTCCAGCTTTCAATTCCAGTCTCTCTTCCCCATCTGCTCACAGACACACACCGTATCTGTTTACTCCCTATCCATTCATTCCTCCCCCTCCTTCAAAGGGCAAGAAAAATTGACCAGCCCTCCGATAGCTAAAGGAGTGCATAAAGGACAAAAGTAAGATTGAGACATGAGCCAGATTTTTAAAGGTATTTGGGTGTCTAAAGATGCAGACAGGCACCTATTGGGTTTTCAAAAGCACCTAGATTCTATTGCAATCAGTAAGAGTTAGAATTTTCAAAAGCCTCTAGGTACTTATTAGGCACCTATCTATGTCTTCAAGTGCCTAAATACCTTTGAAAATCTGTTCAGAGGCAACACCGAGGTGAACTTTTCACTAGCCCACTCCCTAGTCACAGCTGTACAACTGCTGGGACAAGAGAAGGTTTAGGGATTCATGGTGCTGTCTTTGAACCCTGATCAGGATCTGTATGTTTTGTAGTCTTAGGCTAGTAAGTGAATAGAAAATGTGAAACCCTTAAGAAACAAACAAAAAAAATCCCACTTTATATCTGTTGAAAGGGAGCTGTTGTACTTTTTCCTCTGAGCCTGCTTCTGCTCTCAGTTAAGTCAGTGGCAAAGCTTTCATTGATTTCAGTGCTGCACTATTAAACCCCATAGCTCACTACTCGTTCCCAGATCCCCCAGCTACTGTGAGGTAGTATTGTTGAGGTGTCTCCTAATGTACCTCACCTGTTTTTGAATTCTCCTCCCTAGTGAATAGTTCTAGTACCCACCTCTTCCTCTGGCAAGCTGCAGCAGTACTAAATTGACCTGATTCGCGTTGGTTTTATAGCTACCCATAGGGTTTCGAAGAGCAGCAGTGGAAATTAACAGACGCTGGTCAATTATCATTACAGTTTGGGAAAGCTATGAGCAGCAACAGAGGGATGGGAACAGTATCTGTAGACTCGGGAAGAGGACTCTGTGACAGTTCACACTGTTCATGTTTGGAAAGTTTCTTCAGAACCCTATGAACTAAAAACTTATTTTATTTTTAGGGAAAGTATAGATTCTGCAGAAAATTATGGCACTTGCCTGGGAAAACTTCCTTATTCTGTGCAAGTAAACGTTTCAAGCACTTGTTTTTATATTCTACATCTGAAAATGATTTCACAGTAGAAAACCTTCTGTTATCACAACATTCTATTTGGTGTCTAGAAATAAAAACCTCAAAATCATCTTGTGACTATAATTTTTCTTTACATTTTGCAAATCAAGCTGTTCTGTCAAGTGTCTAAGAGCTATACACATTCTTCAGAAAGGGGAGTATACCAGCTAATCCTTTAATAGAGGCATGACAGTGTTTGGGTTGCAGAATTACTCCATGTTCATTAGTAAAGAAAATGCTTTATTGTATCTTTTAAAGGTACAGTATTGTAATACAGCAGTTGAAAAGTTAAAAATGCAAATCGTAATTAATTTGTACAAAAGACAAAGTGAGATCACTGTAAATTTGTCGTCTGATCCTGAAATAGTTTATTAAAGCTAACATTTTCCTTTATAGAGTCTTTGTTGATGTTGTGAATGGAGAATATGTCCCTCGTAAATCAATTTTGAAGTCTCGAAGCAGAGAGAATAGTGTTTGTAGTGATACCAGTGAGAGCAGTGCTGCTGAGTTTGATGACAGACGAGGAGTTCTGAGGAGTATTAGCTATGATGAAGCTACTTACAGTGACAACAGTGAAGGGATCTTGGAGGAGGAAGAGGAGGAGGGGCAGGAGCATCTTCCAAAAAAACTTTCAACCTTATCAGGGACATTTGAGGTACATTTTTTGATTAATTATTGATTGTTGGCATGGATAAAAAGGAAAATGCTGGATAGTGTAGTTGTCTCTACCATCAGTTTATTTAATTTCTTTTTAACTAATTTTCCAGCTCTCCCTACCTCTCTCATCGGGGAGAGATTGCCAGGAGGCCTGTTCTTCTCCCTGCACTTATCCTTTTCCTCTCATTGTGGGATAACCAGCTGAGCTGACTATTTGCCACGTTTGTGTAGCAGTAGACAGTATCCCTTCCACTGAGCACATTGACTTCATGGCTTTCAAATTTAGTGACTCTGGGACTTCCCCATAATGTAAATTCTAAGGTGCACCACAGGGTAACAAAATCCGGATCATGCAAGATTCCCACTTGCTAATTGCTAATCTGAGGGAGGGAAAGCGATTTTGTGTATACTGTAGGCTCTTACTATACTAACACATTGATTCTGGAGAATCTTCAGGACTTATTTTATATTTTAAAACAAATGGTGTCAGTGGGCTCAGAGTGTTTACAAAGTCCTATGACAGGAGGAGGGAGGAAGTTGTCCAGCAGACATAGAGCACAACTTCTAGCATTCCGGCCTTTAAGGAGAACCTGCTCTTTCAGGCAAGATGCCGTCGAAGAGCCGAACCAAATATATTTCCAAGTCTTTGGAAAGTCTTGGGTAATTTCTTATCATAAATGAAAGAGATTGTGCGTCACTAGTGCATGTGCTTGATGAGTAGCTGCGAAAACCATTGAGAATGTTCAGAAATGAGATGTGGCTGCTGCTATGCCATGCATGGGATTAATATTTTATCTCTGTTTTTGTTATGGAAAATTACAGTAATTTTTTAAAAAGTTAGGTTACATTGAATTTTCAGAAGTTCTGTAGACAGAAGGCATCTTCAAAGGGAAATGTTTTTTTCTAGAAAGATAGTTATTTTAAAGAAAAAGTAGACTCATAGAAGACCTATTGCGTGCTTTACTCGGTAAACAGCCACATGGTCCTGTTGTTGCAACCCTCATGCCCCTTTTCTTTTTCTTTATATCCACTGTGTTATATTTGTTTAGACCCTAATGCTGCTGAGGGATCCATGTGGCAGCCCTTATGACTGCATGGAGTCCCATTGACTTTAAAGATATTCAGTGGGGACATAAGCATCTGCTGGCATGGATTCTTTTACAGGGTTAGCACTATAGATTGTAACCTCTTTGGGGCGGAGACTGTATCTTCTGTATGTTAAGCATCTAGTACACTTTTGGTCACTGTAAAACAACAACAAATCATTCGTATATCAATCCATTCTCTGAATAGGGCATGATTATCTGCAGTATAACTGTATTTTTTAAGTAATTATATCACACTGAGCAAAATGCTCCAGTCAGAGCTAAAGGGACATTCACTTTTTAAACAAATATATTGTTGTTTTGCTTTCAGTTGTTTTTATGGTGGTTTGAAGTATATTATTTTTCTGGCAACATTCGCCATGTACTGATTTTTTCTTTTTTCCTAATGCAGCAGAACCTCAGTAGCTGTATTTAATTTACCTTTTTATAAAAATGACACTGGTGTTCTTGAACAAATCAGCAGAACAGGCACAGCTTTGGGCTTAGTTTAGCTATTCGAGTACAGCACAAAAAACCTTGCTTTTTTGCAGGTCCTGCAAGAAGAGTGACTATTTTGTTTTGCTGTTTTTTTTCTTGGCAACAGAGTAACTCTTAAAAAAGCAGGTATAATAAATCTGGTATCTGTTCCCTCCCGCCCAATATAATGATCAAATCTTGGTGTAAATTAGTGTACCATTTTTCTGAAATGTCCTGAACCATTTTTAATTTTTGGCACATAATGTGACTTTTAAAAAATGTAGTATTTTATATTGCATACGCACAGTGTTATGCATACTGTAAACCCATGGCTGATACTAAAAGCATTTATGAAAAAGAGTTTCTTCCTAGCTGCTTTTCAAATTGTAAATATCTGAGTTGTTTCTTTTTCTTAATATAGCAAAAAAGCTATAATGGAAATTGTAATTTTAAAATATTAAGCACATATGGTTTTAGTTAGAATTTATAAAGGAAGAAAAGAATTGGAAGTCTTTTGTTGTTCTCTTAAGTAAACTGCCTTGACCAATTTTTGATCATTTTTGGTAAGAAAGAAAAAAAAATAAGAACCAACAAAATATAGGTAAATTTGTATTCCAGGTGCCATCTTGATGCAATTAGAAAAGGCCAAGATATTAAGCCATGAAAATATGACATATGATGGGAAATGCTGACAGGCCTAAAAATCTGCAAATTTTTCCCATTTGTTATCCAAGATGAAATTGCCTGTTGCATCATCTATTTTATTTTCTTGAACATGTATCAGTGGGAAGCAATTTTTTCAGATCATTTATGCAGTTAGGAATGTGATTAAGTAGTACTTTTAAAACGCTATCTTTCATTCAGATTTCTTTGAACAAGCTATATTTTGAGGTTAATTACAATTTGGTTACTTATTCAAGGAACTTCCATTGATTTAAAGATATTTCTTTACTTTTGATTAAAAGAAATAACAATCCTAATAAGGCTAAAATAGGGTAATGACCTTATGGGCAAAGCTTCACATCTGCATTTTATTAGCTCATTCTGAGTTTTCTTTTCTCTTGTAGGCTTTTTCTGGAACCGTTATAGAAAAAGAGCCTTTGTCTCCCTTAATACCACACCCAAGCATTGCTCACCCTGTCCTGCCTACCATTCCAGAGCGAAAATCAGAGGAAGTTCTGTCTGAGGCATCAGAAGAAACTACAAAGAGGATTTCAAAATTCAAAGCTGCCAGAATGCAACAGACAAACTAGGCCCTGCTGCCTACACAATGAAAGTTTGAATATTAACGCTTAGTTTCACATTTGTTGAGATTATGTAAAACTATGTGCATTACACCTAGTTAGTAAAAAGGTATCTTATGTTAATTTGGCATTGTTTATCTTAATAGACCTCTATTGGTGATATTTAAAAAAAAAAAAGTAAACGTTTGAACACTTCAATATTCAGTTTATTTTGTCAATTTCCCTGTATGCGGTCAGCACCTTTGTATATGTTTGCCTTATAACAGCACTTGGAATTACTTTTCAAAGATTTCTCTTCATATGCCATTGGTTTTATGTTTAAACCTAAATATACAGGTAGTTTTGTATCAGCTGTGATGTCCTACTTACCATCTGGACAGTTTTAAAGAAACTTTTCAAATTTCAAATTGATTCAACAATTATGTTTCATTACTTGCTTTAGCATTTTAAGACACTCTTGTATCCACATTGTTGTAGGTACCTGCTAAAATTCAGGTTTTTTTCCTTCTATTAAACCTCTGATATCTTACTGTACAGATCTCTAAAACAGAATGCTGTGTTCATGTACATTGCAGGGAAGTTTCTTTCATGGAAAATGGTATTTTGTAAAATTAAACTTTTCAAGTAAAAACAAAGGTGTGAATTTTGTTTTTTTGTTGATTTATTCATTTAAAATAAAATGTGGAAAGAGGTGGTTCTTTGAAATCCTTCACTATTGCATAGAGACAGTCTATTCTCTTCCCTCTTTGTGTAGCAAACACCCATTAATTTCAGTGGCAATTACATGCACATAGGGAGAGGAGCATAGACCCAGACTATGGTTAAAGTCCCAAGTTCTTTTATATATTCAAATAATATTTTAATTGTCATGGAAATGCCCAGAGAAGATGGCTGCTAAGGATAAATGTCTTAATGGCTGCAATTTTATTTCAAAACTTAACAGGACTAAGGCACTGAGAACTAAGACAAAATGTCTTGCTGCAGCAGATAGACATGATTGGTCTCTGGCCCATGGTTCTGTGGTTTTAACCATGTGGTTACCCAGGTGACATTCCTTCCGTCACCCTGTGCAGTTCCTGTTCCCACTGGCATCTGACTTTCCAGGCCTTGGCCATCTCATTTGGACAGCAAGTCTCCTAACAGTACTTTGGGTCAGGGTCTAGCCAGCTCTTGCAGCCTGCGCTCTTGGGTTTGTGTCTGTTCCTGTTGTGTAAACTGTCCACTGCCTCACCCAGGAAGCCAGTTTGCGAGACTGGAGACATCTCTTCCTGTTTTTAAACTTAAATTTGTCCTTACATTTTCTTTAATTAAAAAACAAAACTTATTATTTATCTTTAAGTTGGCTTTAAAATGCAACTTCCTTGCTAAAACTGCCCAGAACCAACCCAACAGCTCATCTGGATTGCAAACAGTTGTTTTTGCAAATGTTTAATTAACAAAGAAAATGCATGATCATGTTCAAAGAGCAACTATGTATACAAACAAAGTGACTAACAGCAACCGTGCATATAACCTCTTGTTCACCAGACGTTTTTAGTGTGCTAAGGCTGAAGGAGGGCTCTTATTCCATCTTGTACCTAAAATTAGTATGGGTGTCCACCGTAACTGAGTAACCATAAAATCATCCATGATAAAGTTTTCAGGTGACACACAAATTGGGGGAGTGGTAAATAATGAAGAGGACAGGTCACTAATTCAGAGTGATCTGGATTACTTGGTAAAGTGGGCACAAGCAAAAAATAGGTGTTCTAAATAGGTGTGGCTAAATATAGATGTATATATCTAGGAACAAAGAATGTAGGCCATACTTCCAGGATGGGGTGGACTCTATCCTGGGAAGCAGTGACTCACAAAAAGATTTGGGGGTCCTGGTAGATAATCAGCTGAATATGAGCTCCCATTGTGACGCTCTGCCCAAAAGAGCTAATGCAATCCTGGGGTGCATAAACAGGAATCTCAAGTAGGAGTAAAGAGATAACATAATCTCTATATTTGGCACTGGTGTAACTGCTGCTGGAATACCGTGTCCAGTTATGGTGTCCACAATTCAAGAAGGATGTTGATAAAGGAGAAGAACCATGAGAATGATTAAAGGATTAGAAAACATGCCTTATAGTGACAAACTGAAGGAGTTCTATTTATGTTAATAGAGAACATGGGTGACTTGATTACAGTCTCTAAGTATCTACATGGGGAACAAATATTTAATAATGGGCTTTTCAATCTAGCAGAGAAAAGGTATCACAATCAAATGGCTGGAAGTTGAAGCTAGACAAATTCAGACTGCAGATAAGGCATACATTTTTAATGTGAAAGTAATTAACCATTGGAACTATTTACCAAGGTTCGTGGTGGATTCTCCATCACTGACCAGTTTTAAATCAAGATTGGATGTTTTTCCACAAGTTCTGCTCTATGAATTATTTTGGGGAAGTTCTATGGCCTGTACTATACTGGTCAGACTAGATGATCACAATGGTCCCTTCTGGCCTCGGGATCTATGAAGTAGATGTCTATGTGGGATTCCAGGAGCTACATGTGTAAGGAAGATGAAGGCTACAGTGGCATTCATAGTCCTCACTGCCAGTGCTGCTGGGAACGAGCCACTTCAATGGGTAATCCAATGGCTGCTGCCCATAAGGAAAGTGTTGGCAGGATCGCCGCCAGCTTTTCTGCCGCCGTATGCGGCATAAGGTCCCGCCCTGAAATGCCGCCTCCCACAGAGGCGGCGTAAGGTCCCGCCGCCGAAATACCGCCGCGGTCGCGGCCCCCCAAATTGTACTGCCCTAGGTGACCGCCTAGGTTGCCTAATGGGTTGCGCCGGCCCTGCGTGTTGGGGGCAGATCTTCAGCTGGTGTAAATTGTCACAGCTCCATTGAAAGTAATGGACTATAACAATTTACATCAACTGAGGAGCTGACTCTTGGAGTAATGCTGACCGGAGGCCAAGAGACAGCATAGGAGGTATTGGTCATTTGCAGATCTTCCCCTGGCCTGTGGCTGATTCCCAAAGATCCACACAGCTTGATGGCTAAATAGCACTTTTCCCCAGGAGGCAGGGGGGAAAATCCTGCCTCTCTGAACAAAGAATTAAAGGGAATGTTGAGTATTTTTTCTCCCTGCCTGGTTTCTCTTGCAGGTTTCCTTATGGGAGGGGACAATCTAAGTTTTAAAACAGACTCATTTTAAGCTGATACTGAGGATCACATTGAAAGTATTAATGATTAACTTAATACATGCTAAAATGCAATTTAAAAAAAAAGCATATTGCTGTAGTACTAAAATAAGCCATCAATGCCAGTCCATCCTCTATGCATGGCTAAATATTTAAAGAAGATTATTTATAGCTTCTTTAAAGAATTCTTGGCTAAACAAAATGAAATTATGTCCTAAAAAAGTAGAAGCTATTTTGCAACCAGAACAGTGCAACTGTAAAATATAGTTCCATGCATACCTATTTTAGATATCAAAAGGTTGAGACCAGACAGGTAATTAGAAAGAAAAGGAGAGAGAGAGACCTTTTAAAAGATTTATTTAGATACCTCCTAAAATACTTACCACTCCTAGTTATTTTGAAGCAAGCCAAACTCCCCTTGATCACTTTAAAATCACAGTTCTTTACATGTTTTTATTCTGTACCACTTAAAAATATTCCTCCACTCCCCCAGTCAACATAGGACAAGTGCATCTTGGTTGGAATGCACTATGGCTCTTATTCAGGAAAGCAACCTTATTCAGGAATGCACTTCAATGTGTGCTTAAGTCCTGGGCTGAAGTCAATGGGTTCCTGAAGAAAAATGGACTTAAGCAAATGCTTAAAGTTAAGCACGTACTTGGGTACTTTCCTGAATTGGGGCTTATGTATGTCTGTGCCTCTCTCGCAACTTGCAGTGTGTTTCATGTGTGCAAGGGGTGTCCCATATTCAGTTGCTCCTGTATCTCTTGTCTCCTTACATGGACTTTAGCAATAGATTGTGTAATAGCAATGATGGTGGAACAACATGTGAAGCCTGTTCTCAAATGTAGATGCAAAAAATACATCCGCATAAAGATGTGACTAGAAGTTTTGGAGAGAGAAAAAAAATGTGGGAGTCTCAAGGGCTACACTTGGTGGAGGATTAAAACACCTTTGTCTTTAATGCAATAGTGGAGCAGAAGACTTGATGTGTGGAACCACCAGAAATACATGTTTTATTAAAGGCAGGGAGTAGAGAAAATGTTCCTTACCTGTAGTAGTATTGCCCAGGTTTCTATGCCTTCAAGTTTCTTGATATTATATGAATCTATCTGTAAGAGCATCTTTTTCTTTTCTGCTAACATCAGAGATTTTATTCTCCACTTAAATAATAATGAGGGTAATGTTTAATCTATTTATTTTTAATTTCTTGGTTGCTTTTTTTTTCTGCTGTAAGAAGAGGGTCTGAGCTGCTCTGTGCTGAGTGTTTGTCAGGGAGCCCTGACTTAAATAGAAGCCAAAAACAGCTGTAAGTGCCTGCTGCTGATCGGGATTGGCTGGTGAGTTTTTTTCAATGGCTGTATGAAAGGAGAGGAGCCAATGGGGGCATAGTCATGTGACCTTGTGGGAACACAAATACTCAGAAGCCAGTTAAAGGTAGCTGAGTAAGGCCAAGAGTGGGTGAGTAGCAAATGTTTTAAAGGTGGTTATCAGAACAACCATTGATTGGTAGAAGGACCTCTTTGTTACTCATTGTTTCCTTGGAGGGTTTGGATACCATCAACTAGAGAAATAGTGTGGGAGACAGCCTAAGGGATTAGTGGTGGTTGGGAGCAGGATATGGGCACAAAAGTGACACTTTTAGAATAAAGCTTATCTGAGGATGAGGCAGCTTTGTGTCAGTGGAGAATCAGAGTTGTATCCGATATATGCTTTCCTGAATTGCCTATCTACCCAAGTGCCTGAAGCTGGAGAAACTGGAGAGTAAGTTCAGTGCATTGTGAGGTGGCCATGCAGAGGTCTTCTGAAGAGGGGGACACAGGACTAGGATTCTAACCATTTTCAGGCAGAAGGTTGCAGCCATCTTGTGTTCCTGTCACCTTTACCCTGCCCCTCCACCCTCAAGGCCATCTTTTAACCACTAGAAGTCCTGCACCCTGGGCATAAACTAGGTATGAAGCTAACTCTCAGACTCTGTCTTGGCTAGGCAAATGAGGTGTGTTTAGCAAGTGTGTTAATTAGCAGCATCTAGTGCAGACAAAGATTGTAGTGTTTGAAAACATGGTAGTGGGTCATGGTCAACCTAGGGTCCTAGGTTAGGCTAGGGAGGACACAAAGACTGACTGACAAGCTAACACATTTTAAACATTGATGTCTTTATCTACTGTAGGTGCTAAGTAATGTTTCAAAACATGGTAACTGACATGTCTAACACACTTGCCAACAGAGTTGCTAATCACTTACCAATACTTTTGTTAAACACACATTATCTTCCAAATCCAGACAGGGTCTCAGCGAGCTTGTTTGGGTTGAAGCTGTAGATGTTTCTGATTTACATGCCTTCTGATTGATTAACAAAACAGTTTTAGTCACAATGTGGTGCTGCATGTGACTTAGTGGGTGGCTAAAGTTTCCTAAGTTACTTGCCACATTTGCAATTGATTTGATTTCAGACATATT